TAAGTGAAAAACTGTCTGAGAAGTAAAACACAACTCATGGCTCAAATGTCAAGTAAGTGAGTATGGTATTACATTGCTTTCGGCAATATTTCTGCAATATCATGGCAGCCAACTTGTAACTGGTTTACAGTGCGTCCATGTGGGGAATTTATCCTTGGGCTTTGTGAATCTATGTGTGTTCACTGATCAACTAAACAACACCTAGAGCAAGATGTTCACTGATCAACTAAACAATACCTTGTACAAGATGTTCACTGATCAACTAAACAATATCTAGCACAAAATGTTCACCGATCAACTAAACAATATCTAGAGCAAGATGTTTACTGATCAACTAAACAATACCTAGAGCAAGATGTTCACTGATCAACTAAACAATACCTTGTACAAGATGTTCACTGATCAGCTAAACAAGATCTAGCACAAGATGTTCACCAATAAAAAGATGTTCACTGATCAACTAAACAATATCTAGTACAAGATGTTCACCGATCAACTAAAGAATAGCTAGTACAAGATGTTCACAGATCAGCTAAACAAGATCTAGCACAAGATGTTCACTGATCAACTAAACAATATCTAGTACAAGATGTTCACCGATTAACTAAACAAGATCTAGTACAATATGTTCACAAATCAACTAAACAATACCCAGTACAATATGTTCACCGATCAACTAAACAATATCTAGTACAATATGTTCACCGATCAACTAAACAATATCTAGTACAAGATGTTCACCAATCAACTAAACAATACCCAGTACAATATGTTCACCGATCAACTAAACAGTATCTAGTACAAGATGTTCACCGATTAACTAAAGAATAGCTAGTACAAGATGTTCACCGATTAACTAAAGAATAGCTAGTACAAGATGTTCACCGATTAACTAAACAAGATCTAGTACAATATGTTCACAAATCAACTAAACAATACCCAGTACAATATGTTCACCGATCAACTAAACAGTATCTAGTACAAGATGTTCACCGATTAACTAAAGAATAGCTAGTACAAGATGTTCACCGATCAACTAAACAATACCCAGTACAATATGTTCACCGATCAACTAAACAGTATCTAGTACAAGATGTTCACTGATCAACTAAACAATATCTAGTACAAGATGTTCACCGATCAACTAAACAATATCTAGTACAATATGTTCACCGATCAACTAAACAATATCTAGTACAAGATGTTCACCAATCAACTAAACAATACCCAGTACAAGATGTTCACCGATCAACTAAACAGTATCTAGTACAAGATGTTCACCGATTAACTAAAGAATAGCTAGTACAAGATGTTCACCGATTAACTAAAGAATAGCTAGTACAAGATGTTCACCGATTAACTAAAGAATAGCTAGTACAAGATGTTCACCGATCAACTAAACAATATCTAGTACAAGATGTTCACAAATCAACTAAACAATACCCAGTACAAGATGTTCACCGGTCAACTAAACAATATCTAGTACAAGATGTTCACCAGTGAACTAAACAGTTCCCAGTTCAACATGCTCTTGTTGCAAAGCTATAACTAAGTTCCTTTTCCTTGCAGTTTTTTCTTGCAACATGGTAAGAGAGGATTTATCTAGGGCTATAGTCCTACTGTTTAAATTAACCCACCCATCCAATGTCATTTGAGGGATGGTTGATCTGCACAGGGCACTGAAAGTGAACAGATATTGTTGTCGTGATTTTTTAAGGATGATAGCAAAAAACTCAGAAGGAATAAAGGAGCCCTGTCATCAACGTTTCTGTGTTGGGAGTTTGATGCTGGGGGATATACAACAAGAAAAATGAAATTGTGGGTCATGACCATCCATATAACCTTCACTGTATTACTTTAAGAACCATGACTTAATAAAAACGTATAAAAAATTTCACTAGACTATTTTCTACAAGATCTATGGTCCCACCTTCTCACCACAAGAAGACAAAATGGTAGGTTCCTAAGCCAACGTATGATTGTTAATCCTTGTAGAGAAACTCAGACAAATGCTCTAAGGAGAATGAAGAGGGTGTTTTCTAGCACAACATCGGTTTTGAAGCTAATCCTGTTTAGTGAAATTGATATGCCATGGTGCATTAAGTTTGAAGGAATGTTTTTGCCAGTTAGTATGATGTAAACAAGACATTTCAGCTTCAAACTATTCCGGTAAACCTACCATCATGATAAAACTGCACATTGAAAAGTAATTAGATTTTTTGGAAATAGTAGGAAAATTAAATGAACGGTGCCTAAAGTGATGTATTTCTTGAATTTCTTGTACAGTCTAAGTACAACATTGTCATGTAACCATCATGCACCAACTGCTTTGAGTCTGGGAATGCACTTTCTTGGGTCCTCTTCATTAACCCATGCTTTGCAGTTGGGATGTCTAATCTTTCTCTGATCCTAAATAAAAATATTTTCCAACCAAACCCTAACAAATGACCATTCATTTTAATCAGCACTTCCAGCTGGTTTGAATAAGGGGTCATTGTTTAGGGTTTGTTTGAAGTTTTAAATTTAATTCAAACCTTCCTCCCATGTGAGAAAGAAGGGTTAAAATGGAAGCAATAGTATTTATTCTACTAATGATAGCAAATGTGTTTAACAGACGCACATTTGGAACAATGTTCCCCATGGCTCTTCCCATGAGAATCACATCTGTCTTTCTTTTGTTATTTAACGGGCAGGGAGTCAATGGCTGACTGAATATTTTGTCAAATCAGAGCTGCAGCTCAACTGTCATGGAGTATCAAGTGGTGGTTATTCAGTGCTCTCTGTATCATTACCTAGACACTTTTCAGATAGGCTATAAACTGTAATCCACTCGTCTCTTGTAAACTCCAAAGAATGCAAAATTAGTCCTGAATAGACTTTTAATGGTCATTAGGGTTCAGTGGGAGTAGAAATCGCTGTCATTGAAAAAATATAACATACATCGCGATTTCCTTTTGTCTCGTCAGTAGACATATTAACTTTATGACTTTGAATTTGTTGAATATGAAATATATATGTCTGGAATATTTGATGTTGCTTTTTATGGCTGTGTGATGTACCTTTGAGGACTATTAATGTTTTTCTTACTAGGCCCAAAACAATTTTATTTCTGCCAAGAGCAAACAAAAAATGTCAAACAAATTACAGACTTTGCCAGAGTTCTTCCATATTGGATTTAGGGGAAAAGACTGCAAATAAACATTTGAACAAAATTTAAAATCAGGGAAGATAAGGAAATCGTATTTCCCACTTTTCATTACTTTCATTAATTATTTACAATTTTTGAATTTGTTTAAAGTTCATATCAATTTTCTTCATAAACAAAATAAATTGGTCAGGTATCTTAATTAAAACAGTTGCTATTAACAAATCCATGTCCACACTATTTACATAAGGATTTAGGTTCTCTGTGATCAATTTTAACTGGAATTTTGTCAGACTCAGCAGGAGAGGTGGTTGTAGATTTTAATTGTTAAAAACATCATACAGAAATGATGGAAGGATACTCTGTGTTGGTGGTTAACATAATTAAGTATCATGAATATTATCATTTCAAGCTAATATGTAGATTTTGTTGGGTTTTGGGAATTCAGTTATGTGCTTTGAAGCAGAGGCCATATATTATATGGTCTCTGTTTGAAGTAGGAACTTTCAATCTACCATCAAAATGACTTTGTTGTTTTTAGATTATTTGTATGTGATATGACATTTTATGATAGGATGTAGGATATTGAGATAGAAAGCAACTGCCTATGAGGCAATGTGAATCTTTGAGGAACATCTCATGATATGGTTGTTTGGTATTTATGTTGCAGTCCCCTAAAGGATAATTCTGTCTTGGCTGGGATATAATCTTGAAAATTACCCTTGTTGTTGTTGCTGGATAGCTTTAATCTTTTAGAAAAGATATAATCTGTAAAGCAATCTAGATGAGAAACAGTTAAGGGATTTATTGAAACCACTGGAGAAGTAGTCAAAATTAACACTAAATGTACCATATTTCCTTCAATAAGTGCCATTTTTTTGAAGCGTTTGCCTTTAAGAGGTACTTGGTTAGAAGCACCTTTCATGAAAATGATCATCAGGCCTCTCTTGGTTTCTGTGTTTGGTATGTTAGGTCCAGATTTTTTAATTGTGAAACTGAGCGATTTGTTTATGCATGTGTTATGTTTTGAAATAATAAGCACTAGGTTTCTGTTTACCGCCTGGAAACCTGTGAAGATCCAGGTTAGAATTGATCTTCAGTAACCCATGCTTTTCCTAAGAGGCGATTGATGGGATCAGGTGGTCAGGCTCGCTGAATTGGTTGACACATGTCATTGTATCACAATTGCATAGATCAATGCTCATGCTGTTGATCACTGGATTGTGTGGTCCAGACTTGATTATTTACAGACCACAACCATATACTTCAAATATTGCTGAGTGTGGTGTAAAACTAATCTCACTCACTCACTCACTACTGCCTGCATTCTGTTAAGAGCCATGGTGTTTGTGCTGGTTGAAAAATATTCCCAGGTTTTCAGAAGACACAATGTGCATTCGGTAGATTAAATCATGATACAACTGAGATATGAAGGATAGGACAGAGAAAATTAGAAAAGTGACTACAATATTTGTCCTGTATATTGTGTTACCTAGTCACAACCATCATTGTGTTCAACATGGCTAAGAAGGCAATGTGTACTTGTGGTGTTAGGTGCTGCATATCATTGTGGAGAGTTGTCTCCCCTTTGTCAATCCAGGCTCACAGACATGTCTTGATTATTTCCTTGGTACCTTAACCTCGCTAACTGTTTCAACCAAAGTAGTTAGCATCAATAACAAGCTCATACGCTCTAGACACAGTGGAATTCCTGTCCTGATCAATGCAAAGAAGCTTTGAGTGATATCAAAATGTGTCAGTTTACTTGCATATACTTGTATGCGCCTTTAACAGATGTCCATTTTGAAATTTATCAATCATACCCGAGGAACTTAACCAATTCTTTTATTTGCAGTGATTCTTGAAGGCAGGGGGAACCAGACGTTGCTAGGTTACATGTTGGTAGCAGTGCCACAAGGAGCCAAAGAAGAGAATGTGACAGTTGGCCACTTTGATGTGAGTACATGCAGTTACAAATGTTATTTTAGTATTGTTCACATATATATTCACATATGCACCTTGTGTTCCAGTTTTCCAATGTGGTGTCCCATGAGTTATGCCCCTTAGATACCAGGATCAGCTGATTACAGTTTAATTCTAAGGTGCATTCAGTGTTGTTAGGACCATACCCATTACCCAAGTAACTGATATATTTAGGTTTGTGTGTTTCCATATCATGCTAAATGTCACATGTTTTGTATCAAAAGTGTTACTGCCTCAGTTGAAGAGGTGGGGTAGCCTAGTGGTTAAAGCATCCGCTCATCACGCCAAAGACCTGGGTTCGATTCTGCACATGGGTACAATGTGTGAAGCCCATTTCTGGGGTCCGCCACCGTGATATTGCTGGAATGTTCCTAAAAGTGGGGTGAGCCTAAACTCACTCACTCACCCACATGCTCTCTCACTCATTTATCCTCTAATTGTGAGCTGAATTTATGTCGCTTGTAGAACTTGATCAGCAAAGATCACACCATTAATAGACTTCACATGTAGCCATGTTGGGAATCAAACTCAGGGCTTTGGCGTGATGAACAAGTACTTTTAACACAATGCTACCTCACCACCCACCAGGATCAAGGAAGCCACGCTAATCTCTAGATTTGTATTTGTATAATTCAACATATGTCACTTGTTTAGCCTTAATATTGGGTCCAGCTCTTGTGCTCCTTGTGTATTCAGTGGCCTCTTGAGTGTGTCAGGATGAAGATGTAGTCGCTTCTCATGGCTTTCAGGACAGGGGAAGACATACAATTCACACATACAAGAGTGACAATCTTGTAATGTGGGCAGCCTGGCACTTTAACCTGGGAGTATTTGCTCAGAATGTAACTCAGAATATTTTCTCTCTTAATGTTTTCACAACCGAGGGTGACCTTTTCGGCTACACTTTGAAGGAACTAAATTGAAAAATCTGTCATAAGAAGCACTGGGGTTGGAGACAGATTCATTCTTGACCACTTGTGGTCGGTACTGTATCCATGTGTAAACATCCAGGTGAATGCTTCTCTCAAGTGGGATATAAATGGTTATATTATCCCCTTCATAGTCAATGGAAATACGTCACAGATTCTCTTGTCTGTCTCACAGTCCCTGAACCACATTATTTTCACTACAGCCTAGCCCTCCCTGCAATGCTAAAGTCATGAATGACGCAGGTCTAGGTTCTGGTATCCCTGGGGCTCTTTTTCAGTTTAAATGGGATTATATGTTACAAACAAAATTCTATATATTCTCTGGCAAGTCTTTTTTGACAACTACATACGGCCATGACATTATTTGTGTTTATGGTAGTATTTTGTCATTGATTCAGGAGAATTTCAAGAAATCTGAAGAGGGTTGAAATTGTGCCCTTTTCTTATTGATCTTTGTACAATTTAGTCAATAATTTATCCGAGTGTTTTGTCATTTATTGGACATCAAGATCATATCAATATTTGTGGTCAATCACAATCACATTTCACAATAACATATCTATATTTACTATTTGTAATCTGTCGTAGTGAATGGTGTGATATGTTGCATGTTGCTTAAAACTTTCAACCCCATCAGGGGTGAAGTTCTTTTCTGTCTGGCCAAGATATAAATATTTACATGCCATCATGATTGATTTGTTGGTTGGTTGGTTGGTTGACCCTGAGAATGAATTTTGCATGCACCCAGAGCCATTGGCTACAGACCCTGAAACAAGACCGCCTCCCTGGTGTAGTAGTTAGAGTGTCCGCCCAGAGCACGGAAGGTTGCGGGTTCAATCCCAGACCGCGTCATACCAAAAGAAGTTAAAATATGATACTTGTTGGCCCCTGCCTGGCGCTCGGCATTAATGGGTACATCAAGGACTGGTCGGCTCGGAGTCAGTATAATGTGTCTGAGTGGGGTATTCATGCTTCACTGCAGCATGGTATCTCAGTGGGCTAGCACTATAAAACCAGCTTAAGTCTGGGCTAGTATAACTGACTGACTGACTGAGTTTGGTTTTACGCCGCTTTTAGCAATATTCCAGCAACATCACGGCGGGGGACACCAGAAATGGGCTTCACACATTGTACCCATGTGGGGATTCGAACCCGGGTCTTCGGCGTGACGAGCCAACGCTTTAACCACTAGGCTACCCCATCGCCCCTCTGGGCTAGTACAAGCAGCCGCACATACACATACACATGCATGCACATCGTCATATGAGCGAAATATTCTCAAGCACAACGTTAAACCCAAATTCACTTCACCCTGACACAAATGAACCCATACAGCCGTATAGCTAATCTGTCATACAGACCCTGAAGCAAATATATCCAAGATAGCCCACACAAGTCTAGAAAATGTGTCTAGATTTCCACAACTTCTGAAAATGAAGAAAGTCTCAGGGCTCCTTTTCATTATATTTTATTTTTTTCACTTTGAGCTTTTTTTCTGTAAAATATGTTCATTTCAGGGCTGATTGTTAGTCTATCCTGTAGCAGATGCAAGTCGAGAATATGTGGCAACTGGTCGTATTCCTAGAGTGGAGTCTAATGATTGGTTTGTCTGATCCACACATGACTATTTACACTTGAAATATGATAGCTGGAGTGCTTATGAAACAACACATACTTACTTCAGGATTGGAAGTTGCCCTGATTGAACAAACTTCATTGACACACTCACTCCCAGTATACAGAGCTATGAAACATTTCTCTACTTCCGATCCATAAAAAGTTGTGCAAAATGCATGAAGATTATAATTAAGATATATCGCACACTCAGGGCAATTGGCACCTCAAAGTGTTTTTTACTCCACTCACAGTTCAAATTATTTTCTCTTTTGACTTTGAAGTCTAAATGTAGAAGTGTGATATCTTCATCTTGAATGGTCGACAGCTCCATGTCTATCAAACGGAAGATAGAGCTCGCTGGAGCTGTTATAAATAAATGAATACATTATCAAGAAAATGAATTTATGAAATTTGGTTCAGATGATGACTATTATCTTCAAAGAGAATTGTTTATGAAAAGATGGGAGTTGGATGCAGCATCCGTTAGGGTGTTGGCAGGTGAGGAAGTAAGAGATGAGCCATTTCATTAAGACCTCGTTAAAATATCAATAGACATTTAATAAGGACATAATGATAAGATTATAGCATGTTCCGCCTACCTAAAAATAAAAAAGTAAATTGACCTTTTTTATGTAATACCCTATAATAAATGGGTGGGGAGAAACTTCTTACATAATGGAATGTCTGTAATTACAAAAAAATATGATGCAGAGAAGATACCATTCTTTTAGATTGGTGGGAAAACCGTGATTTTCTGCACATCCCAAGATTAATGGAATGAATGATGAGTCTGTGGAATGTTAATCTGTGTTCATGAATGATTTTATAGAATGATGATAATTAATCTATGGAATAACAATGTGATCTATGGAATAGTGATCCATGATCTATGTAATAATAAATCAGTCATCTGTGGAATAGTGGGCCATAACATATGAAATAGTAATCCATGAGCTATGGAATAGTTATCCATGAACTATGGAATAGTGATCCATGAGCTCTGGAATAGTGATCCATGAGCTATGAGATAGTGATCCTTGATTTATGAACTAGTGGTCCATTATATATGGAATAGTGATCCTTGATCACTGGAATAATCAATCTGTGATCTATGGATTTTCGTTTAGACTTTTATTGATTAATGTTGATGTAAGATATATCCTTTCATGTCAGTAAATAAAGAAGGATGTGGTTTGTTTAAAAGTATAAAAACATATGGTCCTTGAACACATCTTTAAAATTTGAAGATGGGCCATTTCTGGCAGAATCTGTGGGAATCATATTTAAGGCAGCTATAAGAAGCTGCTACTGCTGCTGTTGGGGCTGCTACCTCCAGTGAAAAATACTGAAATACCAAATCCTGAAACAAGTTATCTAACATTAAACAGAGGGAAATGGAATACATGTGATTACTATCATTGGGATGATCATTAAGAGAATGTGGAAACTTCATAGAAAAATACCTTCTTTTCCATGCCCTTTAAATCAGTCTTCAGTCGGAGGCATATAACACGATGAATACAAAGCCTCTAAGACTAGAAACATTCTCACCATAATCGGGGTTTTAAAATTCAAATCTTCAAACTTCTTTTTTCATCTTGATAAGAGTTGGATCAAACATGGAGTATAAAACAACGACTATCAAGTAGAATACTCGCTCCAAGGCATGTTTTATGAAAGTCAGTCTTGTTAAATCTACCCAAGTTCAAATGCCTCTCTCTTTCAGACTTTTATGTTTGACAATAATTTGAATGTGATCACATGAAAGGTTTACATGGCTTGTGTCGTGGCTGGGCGTACACGCGTGTTGATGTATGAGACTGTGGTCGTGTCAGCAATGATCGACAAATACTTCTAAAAAATCCATAGGAACTCCAGTTCAAACATTACTTGCATTCCATTTAGTACCCTGTTTGCTCAACCTCTTATCATTTACTGTTTGTTTTCTACATTTTGTTGAAAAGGTTTCTAAATGATTGCCGAAGAAACTGTGGTGTGCAGACAGTTTTTCTTCTTAAATGTGATTATGTTGTTGGACTGTTTGTGACACAAAAACACATCACTTATGCTTTTCTTTTGTTGAAGAAAAAAAAGTATGATTTATTGGACAGGAATCGTTTTCTCAAAGAAATATGTCAATTTATTCTATAAAATACAGGGGATTATATAAAAGATATGTGAGACACAGCAAATATTTTCTTCGTTTTGCAGATTAGTTTTGTAAAGGTTGAATTTGTTTATAACAAACTAGTTTTGCTAATCGTTCTTTTTTTACCTTTATCTATTATTTAAATAATTTTTTTATGAAAATGGTACATGTTCTATGCAAACTTCTGTTGCAATATTAACCATGATATCCTGACTTTTTTATTGTCTGACTGTTTATGATTATCCCTTTTTGTTCAATAGGTAACCATTTAATCCTGTCACAATTATTATTGTTTGTTTGCTTTTGTCCTATGAAGTACTTTAGTGTGGCCTAAAGTTGAGTCATGTTAGGCAAGCCAGGTATTTCTTCAGGAAAGGCTACACTATATAGAGCAGTTCCCAGTTCCTATCAGATCATTTGAAAGGTGAGCTTCAGATAGGCATGATAAATTCACATTTACTTTCATTTTTGTGTGCGAAAAACATAGTTTATATGGTTCTGTATCTCATAACATGGGAGAAACAAATTTACGTAAGATACAGATACTTGCCACCCATAGAAAGAGAAATGGTACTGTTTGTTTACTGACAGGGGATGTTGACATCGCTCAACAACTGTTCTATATCAGTTACAATAAAATCTATTAATTGTGATGTCGATGGACAAAAGGGAAATCTTATGGTCTAAATCTGCTTTAATTGGCAGTTAATGTGCAGTTTCTGTATGTAGCATCCATGCTTATCAACTGAAATGCATTTGGCCAACATCAAAACCTTTTTTTCATTTAAATAAATATGTGTAAATATGTCTATGTGTCTTAAGATTTCTTATCTAAATGAAAGTATTGCTTGAACTTGTTTTCTGAGGGGAAACAGCAGCTGTCTGGATTGCTTGAGGGAATGGAAGTGATCGTGCTCTGCAACACAAACACTCCAGGACATATCTTGATTTAGTTGTTATGTTTTCTGGAGATTGCTAATAATAGATCATAAGATTAAGATATTAGGACACCAAAATGTTTTTTTCAAATAGTCATATATCTCCATTACATGATGTGATATGAGTGTTATAGCCCAGCAAGAAGGATGATATGAGTGATTCTACACAGCAAGTCGAGTGAAATGAAATATAGGTCTGTGACAAGGCTGTCAACTTAGCCTGTAGGTTTTCATACAGACTGCATAAGAGTCTCGCATAGTACAGAGAGAAGGTGAAAGAGCAGTGCAGACATTTCAAGGAGGGGCAAAGCAAGCAAGGGGGATTATATTTGTCTGTCTGAGTTTAACATGAGAGATGGAGATGAATGTCAGTTCTCCCCTTGGGAGAAAACTCAACAACTTCATGGACAAGGAATAGTGATTACACCATAGTTTATAGTGAATTATCAGGCTGTCATGTGCCAGGCCACAACACCTGCATGTCATATTTCTGCAGTGTGGGGGGTATGATTTACAATAGGTATCAGTACATTCCAGACAGAGCACAACTATGTGTCCCTTGTTTTCACAGCCATGTGGTCTAAGGCAAAGGTCTTGTTTTGTTTTAGAGTCCAACCATATAATTATATAAATATAATTTATAAAATAAATAAAATTGCCTCAGGTTTAACACCTTCAGAAACATTTTGACTGGAGATGCTAGGTGCCTTTGAAAAATAAGAAAGGCTGAGCAATGATAAAGGAAAACACATATGCCCACCCCGTCCTTTAAAATAACGAAATTATATTTTATGCAGGGTTAAAAACAACAATCAGAAATTTTTAATAAAGAAATTGTTTTAAGCAGGGTGAAAACAACAATCGGAATTTTTGTGTGCATATGATTTAAACAGTATTTTATTTCCATTAATGTTTACATTTTTCATAATACATGACATAACAAAATGGAAATAGGATTAGCAAACAGGCCATATGGCCTATGTCAATGCTTCTCCGCATATAGTTCGTTATATCTTGACATAATTCTATGGAGCAGACATTAGGACATTAATGAATGAATCAAAACAAAATAAAAATAAAGAAAATAAAATAAAGAACAAGATACCAAGTGCATTTTATGTTTATAGGTTGTTACTTGAATTCCGTAACGCAGTTAGTTTCAGTTATGTAATTCTGAACTGATTTTATAAGGTGTGCATATCTCTCACCACCAGTGATATCAGGACAATCCCTTGCTTTTTATGATTCATTATCAAGAAATTATATTTAAGATTTTATTGGTTTTCCTTTCAGCATATTTAGACTTCTCTTGCAACATGTACATGTTCTAGTAGATCTTGTTTAGGGAATCAGAAGGTATTTTCTGTCAGTAAACAAAGTGATCCACTTATCCCCTGGTAAATGATATGTGTACAGAGGTACCTGTTTCACAAACTGAAAGAGAGATAGTAACAAATAGTAGCAATGTGTAACAAATATGGTTACAAGCCATCCCTAGGGGATATCATCACCTGTGTCTTAGTCACACAAGAAACATGAAGGAAGGGACAAACCCATAAAAACTTTGTCACGAACCTTGGTAACATGGCATTTATGACACTATGTTTTCTAAACACCGTGGGCTGTGGTTTTATTTGAGTTATCTAAAGGCTGCTTGACAATTTGATAACAACAGGGCCTTGTCCATTTAAGTTTTTCTGATGTGTATAAACTAATAAATAAACCCAAACTGTTTAGTTGGATTGAAAATGTTTTTGTTTACATCTTTATTGATGTTTTTATTTATGCAGTTACCTAATGTCTATACATTTTAACTAACAATACCTTTTAGACAAAGTAATTAATTGGTAAGGTCAAATTAGCAAATTTATTGTTACATTGTTGTTCTCTTATCTTTCTATTATGGTACCGGTATATCTTGAAAGATTTGTTTTGAAAATATTAGAGTTCATTGGATAGAAACAAAACTACACAATGGAGTATGTATGTAGAGTACATAGCTTGAAAATATGAACCAACAATGATCCTATAGAAAACCCAGTAGGTCACAGACAGGCAGGATGTATAGAAGGCAGTCAAGTTTTCTGCAGAATTTGCTGTTAGGGCCATAAGATCATTATTAGATTCTATCTCTGGCTGCCTTACTCATAACCAAACCTAACACCCCACATCAAATCATTTTATTGTTCCTAAGTTCCTCCAGGTAAGGAAATTCGCAATGTGTGTCCCCTTGTTTCTTTGCTTCAAGAAGTAATTTTACCATTTACCTCAGTAAGTTGTTCCAACCATATACCTCAGTAAGTTGTCCCAACCATATACCTCAGTGAGTTGTTCCAACTATTTACCTCAGTGAGTTGTTCCAACCATTTACCTCAGTGAGTTGTTCCAACCATTTACCTCAGTGAGTTGTTCCAACTATTTACCTCAGTGAGTTGTTCCAACCATATACCTCAGTAAGACCTTCCAACCATATACCTCAGTAAGTTGTTCCAACCATATACCTCAGTAAGTTGTTCCAACCATATACCTCAGTAAGACCTTCCAACCATATACCTCAGTAAGACCTTCCAACCATATACCTCAGTAAGACCTTCCAACCATATACCTCAGTAAGACCTTCCAACCATATACCTCAGTAAGACCTTCCAACCATATACCTCAGTAAGACCTTCCAACCATATACCTCAGTAAGTTGTTCCAACCATATACCTCAGTAAGTTGTTCCAACCATATACCTCAGTAAGACCTTCCAACCATATACCTCAGTAGGACCTTCCAACCATATACCTCAGTAAGACCTTCCAACCATATACCTCAGTAAGGACCTTCCAACCATATACCTCAGCAAGACCTTCCAACCATATACCTCAGTAAGTTGGTCCAACCATATACCTCAGCAAGACCTTCCAACCATATACCTCAGTAGGACCTTCCAACCATATATGCACTTCAGCAAGACCTTCCAACCATATACCTCAGTAGGACCTTCCCAACCATATACCTCAGTAGGACCTTCCAACCATATACCTCAGTAGGACCTTCCAACCATATACCTCAGTAAGTTGTTCCAACCATATACCTCAGTAAGTTGGTCCAACCATATACCCTCAGCAAGACCTTCCAACCATATACCTCAGTAGGACCTTCCAACCATATACTTCAGCAAGACCTTCCAACCATATACCTCAGTAGGACCTTCCAACCATATACCTCAGCAAGACCTTCCAACCATATACCTCAGTAAGTTGGTCCAACCATATACCTCAGTAAGTTGTTCCAACCATATACCTCAGCAAGACCTTCCAACCATATACCTCAGTAGGACCTTCCAACCATATACTTCAGCAAGACCTTCCAACAATATACCTCAGTAAGTTGTTCCAACCATATACCTCAGTAAGACCTTCCAACCATATACCTCAGTAAGACCTTCCAACCATATACCTCAGCAAGACCTTCCAACCATATACCTCAGTAAGACCTTCCAACCATATACCTCAGTAAGACCTTCCAACCATATACCTCAGCAAGACCTTCCAACCATATACCTCAGTAAGACCTTCCAACCATATACCTCAGAAGACATGAGATAATTTACAGACCTCCTAAGAAATGAAAATGAAAACATTTTAATGAATTTATTGTTCCCTATTTCAGGTCACCTCGTACCTCGGGTATGTGAGGGATTTGATGAAAGAGGGCATCTGTGACCACCATGTCATGTCCCACTACTTCCTGGCGGACAAGAACAGTATCCGAATGCAGTGGAAGGCGCCTACCAAGAGTGCCGGCTGTGTTGAGTTCAGGTAAAGGCAGTCTGGTCTTGATTAACCCTGCACTTTCGGATTTATCACTTACTGTTGGGTCCGAAGGTCAAAACCCATGACTGAGGGTTCAAATCTCAGATTCGCCTTGGCGTTGATCCTTGATGTTTTAAACCCATGTCCATTCTCATTAGTTTCACCAAGGCAGTAAACATCTTTGACCTGCATCACTTGGACCTTTTCACATTACATGGGTCACCTTTTCACATTACATGGACCACCTTTTCACATTACATGGGCCACCTTTTCACATTACATGGGTCACCTTTTCACATACACATTTTCACATTACCAGACTTTTCACATTACATGGACCACCTTTTTCATATTACATGGACCACCTTTTTTTCACATGGGCCACCTTTTCACATTACATGGGCCACCTTTTCACATTACATGGGCCACCTTTTCACATTACATGGGCCACCTTTTCACATTACATGGACCACCTTTTCACATTACATGGGCCACCTTTTCTCATTACATGGACCACCTTTTCACATTACATGGACCATGGACCTTTTCATGGACCACCTTTTCACATTATATGGACCACCTTTTCACATTACATGGACCACCTTTTCACATTACATGGACCACCTTTTTCATTACATGGACAGATTTTACATGGGACCTTTATGGACCCTTTTCACATTACATGGACCACCTTTTTCTCACATTACATCTTTTCACATAATATGGACCACCTTTTCATGTACCACCTTTCACTACTTTTCACATGGACCACCCTTTCACCATTACATGGACCACCTTTCACATAACATGGACCACCTTTTACATGGACCACCTTTTCACATTACATGGACCATCTTTTCACATAATAAGGACCACCTTTTCACATTACATGTACCACCTTTTCACTGACCACCTTTTCACATTACATGTACCACCTTTCCACCGACCACCTTTTCACATTACATGGACCACCTTTTCACATAACATGGAGCAGATTTTCACATTACATGGGCCACCTTTTCACATTACATGGGCCACCTTTTCACATTACATGGGCCACCTTTTCACATTACATGGGCCACCTTTTCTCATTACATGGGCCACCTTTTCACATAACATGGACCACCTTTTCACGGACCACCTTTTTCGCATTACAGGGACCACCTTTTCACATTACATGGACCACCTTTTCATGGACCACCTTTTCACATTATATGGACCACCTTTTCACATTACATGGACCAGATTTTCACATTACATGGACCACCTTTTCGCATTACATGGACCAGATTTTCACATTACATGGACCACCTTTTCACATTACATGGACCACCTTTTCATTACATGGACCACTTTTCATGGACATGGACCACCTTTTTTCACACCTTTTTACATGGAGCAGATTTTCACATTACATGTACCACCTTTTCACGGACCACCTTTTCACATTACATGGACCACCTTTTCACATTACATGGGCCACCTTTTCACATTACATGGGCCACCTTTTCACATAACATGGAGCAGATTTTCACATAACATGGACCACCTTTTCACGGACCACCTTTTTCGCATTACATGGACCACCTTTTTTACATTACATGGACCACCTTTTCATGGACCACCTTTTCACATTATATGGACCACCTTTTCACATTACATGGACCAGATTTTCACATTACATGGACCACCTTTTCACATAACATGGAGCAGATTTTCACATAACATGGACCACCTTTTCATGGACCACCTTTTTCGCATTACATGGACCACCTTTTCACATTACATGGACCACCTTTTCATGGACCACCTTTTCACATTATATGGACCACCTTTTCACATTACATGGACCAGATTTTCACATTACATGGACCACCTTTTCGCATTACATGGACCAGATTTTCACATGACATGGACCAGATTTTCACATAACATGGATCACCTTTTCTCATTACATGGACCACCTTTTCACTGACCACCTTTTCACATTACATGGACCACCTTTTCACTGACCACCTTTTCACATTACATGGACCACCTTTTCACTGACCACCTTTTCACATTACATGGACCATCTTTTCACATAATATGGACCACCTTTTCACATTACATGTACCACCTTTTCACTGACCACCTTTTCACATTACATGTACCACCTTTCCACCGACCACCTTTTCACATTACATGGACCACCTTTTCACATAACATGGAGCAGATTTTCACATTACATGTACCACCTTTTCACGGACCACCTTTTCACATTACATGGACCATCTTTTCACATAATAAGGACCACCTTTTCACATTACATGTACCACCTTTTCACTGACCACCTTTTCACATTACATGTACCACCTTTCCACCGACCACCTTTTCACATTACATGGACCACCTTTTCACATAACATGGAGCAGATTTTCACATTACATGGGCCACCTTTTCACGGACCACCTTTTCACATTACATGGACCACCTTTTCACATTACATGGGCCACCTTTTCACATTACATGGGCCACCTTTTCACATTACATGGGCCACCTTTTCACATTACATGGGCCACCTTTTCACATTACATGGACCACCTTTTCATATTGAATAGACCACCTTTTCAAACAGACAATTATGATTACTCTGTTGTTAATTTCATACTCTCACATTTTGGATTCCTTGCTTTCTACATCTTATTCCTAGCCATTTTCTGTTCTGCGAATATTTTCTTAAAAGTTTGAAGGAGAATCTTCTTCTCTTCTCAACTGTCATTTCAAACCTCTCACTTCCTGTGTCCTCTTAACGTCCTCTATCCTCCTCTGTCCTCATTCCCAATGCCTTTTCTGTTTTCTTCCTTTCAGTCATCTATTGACCCTGAAGATCCGGGTAGAAAGTCTTCTCTTCCTCCCATTCCCAATGCCTCTCTTTCTCTTCCTCTAAATCACTAGCTGAAGCCATCATCTCTTCTTTGGGCGTCCTCCATTTTCATTGGGTAACTCCTTCATCTCCATCTCGTGTTTCCATTATCTTCCATTATGCCTTTAATCCATATGTTTCTTCTTTGAATCTAATGACTTATCTAACCCCGAATGCCATCAATTGTTTATCACTGTCTATCACAAAATTTCAGAAATAATATTAAATATGTCATCTTCTGCCTTTGACATTTTAAATTGCTTTGCACTGTCCTATAACCCTTTGCAATAATCACATTAAACATTGCCATGGCTTAAAGCTTAAACATGAGGAAGATATTTATAATGCCCCTCACGCAATGCCCCCTCGACCATGAACAAGTACAGATTTACAAAACTCTCATTATCAAAATCCCATAAAAATGAGGAAGAGGTTTATAATCCAGTTTAATCTTTCTGTACCCTGTACACCAACAAACTCAAACCATTATCCACCACATATTTCAACTGTGAAGCGTTTCACAGGTACCAGAACACTTCCCTTTCTATTTTATGCCATTCAGCAAAGTATAAAAATAGCTAATGAGATGGCAGATCTAAGATGTCTGACAGTGTCTTCTGGGAAAGAAGTTGATTGGTAAAGGAACCAACTGCTGCCTCGAACCATTATTAGATTCCTACAGGGGGATGGCCTACCACATGCCTGCTCCATCACATCCCACCATCCGATCCCACATGCTGCAAACTCATCATCATATAAGATAATCACAGCACATTAACATTTCAACCAAATTGCTTTTTCATTCGAGTCGCTTTCCGAAAAGTAACACCCCTGTTTATTGCTATTTTAGGTTTGAAGTCTTTTATAATAAGATAATGTGATTAAAAAAGACTACACTTTTCTGAAAGTGACACTTTGTTTATTGCTAGGTTTGGTTTTAAGTCATTATTAATCTGATAAAGTGATTAAAAAGGATTATTTCCGAATATATATGCTTCATTTTGTGGAAGCTGTTTGTGAGGAGAATTTAAATGGGAGTGATATGGGTGGGGAACTTTTAAAAGGAAACAATTTTAGAATCAAGTCTGACATAAGTTCAGGATAATATTGATGATAGGGTGGACATTTTAACTTAGCTCATAGACACCTGGTGTTGTCAGTGTGGCTGTGTCATTTATAATGATTTAAAATTTATTTTTGAATTTGGGGTTCATTCTTTGCCACGTACAGAAATACAATTGTAAATACTAATGGCACTGACATTTATAATGTTACTAGAATATGTTGTTCTGGTTTCACTCTCTGTATCATCATCTGAATGATGATCCTAACTATGAGAGATGGTATTAATATGTTTTGACTAATATAACCATAAGTATTGTAGGGAGTGGTCATTTAGTTCTACAAATTAGTTTTGCTCTTCACATACTGTACTATTGTCATTATCTTGATTAAATCTGTAACTGATATTGTTAATGTATTTTACATATTTGCCATAAGCACTCACAGTAGATACTTGTATGAATGATTATTAAAGCTGGCCTAAATAATTTAGCAAGGAAGAGATAGAAAGAGACAAAGTGATGGTAAAAATCATTGTGGAGCTTGAAATTTCAAGGTTATTTTTGTAATAGTCCACTGGAAACTAATGTTTGCTAAACCAAGATTTGTTTATAAATTGTCATTTTGTATCAATATCTTTACTTTAGCGTTAATGCTAGTATGAATGGTATCAGTGTCAGTTACTGATACTTCCTTAGTTTGATATTTCAAGAATTTAGTAATTTAGTAATCCTTCACCAGGTTTTTCTGAAACACTGAAGCAGGCTGATAATGGGATAAACATAACTATGGTGCAACAAAGAATTATTTTACTTCCTCTCCATGTTAGGATTCTAATTCACCACTGAAAAAAACTTTTGTAAGCATATGCCTCAACACATTGTCTCGTCATCCCCACATCACACGCTGGAATATAGTCTATGACATGAAGTTATGTATGCTGTTAAAATAGGATGATTCTAAGGGAACGCTCATGTGTTAAGAAACCCTGAAGGGTCTGATAGTGTTGAGAAAAAGGGTGTAGACATAGAGGAAAGGG